TACTTAGTGTGCAACATAATTCAGCAAAACAGGCAAAACTTACATGCACTGTGGAAATAACTGCACAAAACAATCAGAGCTGTGTTCTAGACCTACTTATTGATACAGACTCGGCAGTGTCCATCCTTCCTGAGTGTGTTTACAAGACATAGTTCTGCAAATGCCCGCTAACTAAACCCAGATTGCAGTTAGTAACATATTCGAAAGAAAAACTAGCAGTCATTGGATGTCTGAAGGTGGATGTTTCTTATCAGAACACAACTGTGAGATCAGAGATGTACATTGTTGAATCAGGAACGCCCATTCTAGGAATGGACCTAGTGACAACACTGAATCTGCAGATCTCTGGTGGTCAGCTCTTGCCAGAGAACCAGCCTACTTGCGCAATGCTCCAGTCTGCAGTGGAGGCAGTTGTTGAATCATCTACTGACTCCGTTGAACCATCTACTGACTTTGGTTGTGCGAAAGGATTTGTCCATAAAGTGAAGATCCGGCCAGAGGTAAGACCAGTCCAACAAAAACTCAGAAGATTACCGCTGTCTGTCCGTGAGGCAGTGTCGGCAGAGCTTCGCTACCTAGAACAACATGGAATCATCGAGAAAATTGACTCCTCTGAATGGGTATCTCCTATAGTAGTCACCCAAAAGAAAACAGGAGGTATACGGATGTGTGTAGACCTGCGGGAGCCTAACAAAGCGGTCGTGGTAGACAGCTACCCACTTCCTCCGATTGAAGATCTATTATCTGAACTGAGAGGTGCAGTGCTGTTCTCCACCCTAGATTTGAAACATGCGTACCATCAAGTTGAACTGCACAAAGATAGTCGTGACTTGACTGCTTTTGTGACACACGATGGCCTCTACAGGTACAAGAGGGTACCGTATGGCCTTAGTTCGGCACCAGCAGCCTTCCAGAAAATGATGTGCACCATCCTACAAGGCTTAAAAGGCGTACAGTGCTACCTTGATGATGTAATAATTTTCGGCTCCACAACAGGAGCACAATGAAAATCTGAAAGATGTCTTGCAGAAAATTCACCAGTCTGGACTGAAACTGAATGTTGAGAAATGTTGTCTTAGACTAAACTTCAGTTTTTAGGGTACACGTTATCCCCAGAAGGTCTCCTCCCTGATGACACTCACATCACAGCAATCCTGAAGACTCCAGCACCAAGTGATGCACCCAGTCTGCGTTCTTTCCTGGGCCTCACCGCATGCATGTTACAGTAAATTTGTGCCAAACTATGCAACAGTGGTTGAACCACTCAGAGCACTTTTGCGCAAAGACAATGCATTCTCATGGCCCACCACTGCCCAAGCCAGTTTTGATAAAGTGAAGCACATGATTGTAAACGGTTCTGCTTTAGCCTTGTTTGACCCCAGACTGCAGACTATTCTTTCCACAGATGCCTCACACTACAGCTTGGGAGCGGTCCTCACACAAATAACAGAGCAGGGGACAGAACAGACTGTTGCATTTGCATCGCGAAGCCTGTCGGAAGCTGAGAGGAAATACTCTATTGTAGAAAAGGAGGCCTTAGCCTGCGTCTGGGCTGCAGAAAAGGGGAGAACCTGGCTGTGGGGCCGAAAGTTCATACTCCGAACAGACCATCAAGCCCTCACAACCCTCCTGACCACAAAAGGTAATAACAGAGCTTGTCTCCGGATGGCAAGATGGTCTGCCCGGTTGCTTGAATTTAATTATGATGTCCAGTACAGAAAAGGAACTCTGAACCAGGTCGCTGATTGTCTCTCAAGATTACCACTCTCTGATGCAGCTGAGAACAGTGACAATACAGTGGAGTCTGTGGCGGAAATATTGACTGGTCTCAGTACAGTGTCAAAGGATGACTTCAAAGCTGCATGCCGATCCTGCCTGGAACTCATAGAACTTCGTACACAGCTGCAGACACGATGGTCATCATGGAAGTCAAGTAACCAGAATCTCAGAGCATATTATCTGATCCGAGATGAACTCACTGTGATGGATGATTTGGTTGTCAGAGGCACCCACCGCCTGATAGTTCCACAGGTGATGAGGAAAAGGATGATAGAACTTGCCCACAAAAGCCACCAAGGCATTGTTCGCACAAAACCGCGCCTTAGAGAGATGTACTGGTGGCCTAAAATGGACCTACAGACTGAAAAAGATGATTCACGTTATTTCGACTAGCTTGATTTGGAAATTTATCTTGGGTCAATAAAGTCTTTATTAATTTATTTGGCAGGCTACTCCTAATAAAATCTTGCCCATTTATTATCAAAGAAGGTAAATGAAGAGCTTCAGTTACATTGGGCACCGTATTTCTAACCAACAGTACAAAGGCCTTTGGAATACAGTTCAATACCCTATTATATTGCTTGTAATCACAATGGATATTATATTTTTCACAAAAAGTACTGTGATCCATAAAATAACCATCTTTCCCTAGAAGGTCAACAACAGAAATCTATTCCACCAACACTACCAAAGATATTTCTAGGGGTGCAGAACCAGAAACTCATTATTTATTAGAAAATTTTTAAGCCAATTTATCTTGAAAGTTCCATTCATACAGTCAAAGTCTATGGCCTGCAACCCCCCTTCTTTGTAATCCTTCACTAGTGTCCCTTTTTTAACATAATGAGCTTTTCTCTTCCAAATGTAATTAAAATTCAGCTGATTAATTAACTTACTTTTCTTATTAGAAATGGGAAGGGATCCTGCAGGATAAATGCATCTAGACAGAGATTCTACTTTTGTCAATAAAATTCTTCCAAATATAGAAATGTCTCTCTGCATCCATATGTCCATTCTGGCCTTACATTCATCAATTCTATTAGATATATTAAGTGATTCACTTAGTTCTTTATCTTTAGTAAGTAGAATACCAAGATATTTGATCCTAGATTTAACTGGTACATTGCAAATTTGTGTAAGATGAGATTCTTTCAATTTCATTATTTCACATTTACTTAAATTAAGACATAAGCCCGAGGCATTAGAAAAGTTATTAATAATTTGGAGAGTTTTTGGAACCTGATCAGTATTCTTTAGACATAAGACTGTGTCATCAGCCAATTGACTGATCACTATGGAATCATCAAAAACCTTCAATTGCTCAATGTCAGAATTTTTAATTGCGAGAGCAAGCATTTCAGCGGCCAAAATAAAAAGTAAAGGCGAAATGGGACAACCTTGTTTAATACCTCGGCTTATATTAAAGCGTGAAGTGGTCCCTTCAATCAATGAAACAGAACAATTTGTATCCTGATATAAACTACCAATTATACTTCTAAACCGTTTCCCAAACCCATACAATTCTAAAGCCGCAAAGATAAAGGGGTGTTCGACCGTGTCGAACGCTTTGTAGAAATCAAGAAAAAACATAATACCATCGTCATTAATCTTGTCTTTATAGTCAATCAGATCTTGAACCAAACATAAGTTATTGTGAATCGATCTACCCCTCATAAACCCTGATTGCGTATTTTTTATAATCTGAGATAATCCAGTCTTCAGCCGATTAGAATAAATGTGTGCTAACAATTTATAATCATTATTTAACAATGTAATGGGCCGCAAGTTATCTAAAATCGTAGGATCTTTGCCTGGCTTGGGAATGAGAATTATAAACCCTTGCTTCATATGGGAAAGTGAAAGACATTCAGTAACCTCTGTCAAAGCCTTAAATAAAAGAAATTTTATTGAATCCCCCCAAAAATTGTAAAAGTTGGCCGTTAAACCATCGGAGCCAGGAGATTTGTCAGAGGATAAAGATTGCAAAGCATTCTCTAACTCCTGTAACGAAATTTTTGCATCAAATCTCTTTAAACTCCAAACTGATTTGTGGAATAAATGGCTTAATACTATCAAAAAAAGCATCTGCATTAATTTTAGAAAATGTTGACTTATAAGTTACTATAAAAGAGAAAGATTTTTTGTGCAATGTCATTAGCGTTGGAAGATTCACTGCCATCAATAATTAAAGATTGAATATTATTTTTCTCCTGCCTGCTCTTTTCCAATCTGCAGAAGTACGCTGAATTTCTCTACCTTCTTCTATCCATTTGGCCCTTGAACGGATGTAAGCACCTTTCACCTTTTCAACATGGATAGTATCAAGTTTGGATTGTAAGAATAAAAGCTTTGCTCTATCTGAATCATCAGACTGACTATTACTGCAACATTCACTTATCTCTCTAATAAGATTAACTTCTTCTAAATGGGTCGATTTTTTTAGCTGTTTACAAATTACCATAGGGCACCAACAGAGCCTGGGCCGGCCCTGCTTCTAATCACTTTTAGCGAGCATGAGGGAGGCGACAAGGATTTAAAGGGCAGACACCTATACAATATCCAAAAACAAGTTGGCAAAGGGAGAATATGCATTAACAATAGAAAAGAAGACATAATAATTACTCGACTTCGAATAGGACATTCTGGTTTAAATCATTCATTATTCACAATAGGGAAACATCAGTCAGGATTATGTACTACATGCAGTGAAGCAGAAACTATTGAGCATGTACTTCTACATTGTGCAGTATATACCAAAGAAAGAGAGGAGTTATTTAAGAAACTGAGAAACATAGGAGTAATTAATTTCACTATATCAAATCTTTTAAGTTGTGCCTCAGGACAGACACGTATGAGAGAAATTCTTAGTTATCTGAAGATAACAGGATTAGAAAGTAGAATTAAAATGTCATATTAATACTACCGGTTGTTTTATTTTCTTAGTTAAATAGAAAAAAGTGTTGTTGTTTTTTTCTTCTTCTCCCCTTTCTCCCTTTTTTCCCTTTCCCGTTAGTGCTTCACACTCCTGTCCAGTTGGTGGCGGTAATACACCATAAGTTGGCTTGTCAACCGCCATTAAATCGTACACGAAGAAGAAGAAGAAGAAGCGATTTGGCTGTAGAGAGCATGTACTGTTTTAGCGCTCGTTAAGTAACTACTTATTGAAATTAAGTACCTACTCATTGGGTATGCCATTTCGGACGCAGCAAGGCTTTCCGCTTTAGGCAGACTTTTTACTTACTTTCGGTTTACTTATACCCACTATTCTAGGGGATGTCATGGGGTAATAGGAGCTGCGTTAAAAAGTACGGAGCTTTTATTTCCATTTAATTTACTTTTTTTGTAATGACTTTGGTGAAAATGAACTCTGCCGTTTTGTGGACGTTGGTGAATGTTTTGCCCTTGCTTGGTAAGACATGTATTTACGATCTCTTTTCTGTATTATTTTGTAGGCTATGTCAATTTAATCACTTTATACTCGACAGAAATCGATGTATTATTTCTTAATTGAAGCTGTTTTATGTAGCTGATGAGTGAAGATGACATATTGTTATAGTTTTAGACGCTTTTCCGAAAGTGGAACGGACAAGGCAGCTATGGGGTCCCAAGAGGGTCTGGCTGCAGCCTTGCAGTTGCACTCTCAGACTTGCGCTTCCGCTACGTCACTTGCAGTCTTTATTTTTTATTTTGTTCTATTTTTTTATTACTTTTTGTTTGAATCTCTCAACATTTTACAACAGTAGCTAAAAATAATAACTATATATCTAATTTGATCTTTTAGTTTAACTTAATGTATCTTAATACATTACGCCATGTTAAGTGTTTATGTTTTTCTACAGGAGGAAAACGCTTAAAGAGAGACTTTGCGCATGCGTTCATATTCTGCTGTTCTGTGGCCACGGATTTGCGGGTCTTGTCTTTTTCTTGCAGGACCCTGTACGTTATAGTACTAAATTAGTTTTAATCGTTTAATCACCACCACAGCGTCTTCTCTCCATTGGCAACACGCACCATTTGTGTCGATTGCAAGAAGTGTCTGAGAGTGCAAGTGCAAGGCTGCAGCCAGACCCTTCTCATGGGGTCACGCTACCACACTTGTTAAAGGGGTGCTATTATGCTTTTTCACTTTTTCAACTTTAGTTAGTCTGTAATGTTGCTGTTTGAGCATAAAAAAGATCTGCAAAGTTACAAAGCTCAAAGTCCACTTCAAAAGGAGATATTTTATTTAACAGAAATCACTTTTCAAAAACTACAACGAACGACTCGTTTGGACTACAACGCATATTTTCCGGGATTTGTGATATCACATATCGACGAATGGGACGAGACCTGGTTGAGCTGCGCTAAAGAAGGCAATGAGTGTTATCACTATGTCGGAGACGGGCTAATTTTCACAAGGCAGACGAACTTAGAGTGGTTACAATCATCCGGGTTTAAATCGCACTCAAATTGATTTGATTTTGATTTTGACGCAATATGTACACTGAAGCTTGCAGTGGTAAGGGGCATGACATTTCCCAACCAGGCGCCGAGTGGAGCCAATCACAACACACACTGGCCCAGCTAACCAATCACAGCACATTTCGTATTTCAGAAGGCGGGCCTTCATTTGATACAGGGACTATTCGAGCCGTTCATGCCAGACTGGGGAGAGAGGTGTTGTAATAATGTAAAACATGTGAAAAATAATGTGTTTTTCGAACAACCTAGTATGAGAGCCTGTTCTAGTACACCCCCAAAACAAAATCAAGACTTTGTAAAAGAGCACAATAGGACCCCTTTAAACAAAGAGAGCTTTTTAATGAATCTTAGTTAATATTTAAAATGTGAAGAGTCGCATTATGTTCGCTGTTTTAACAATGCATGGCAGCGTTTAATTTCAAAGTCTGTTTTCTGTCCCTGGCATCTCTTCTGTTATCATGTTTATGTTTGTTAGCACGATTTTGTAAAATGGACTGCTTGAACTTTCAAAATGGAAGGTTGAGGTGGGGCTTTGCGTTTTTTTTTTTTTATCCAAGTGTCGTTCCTGGTGGGACGGAGTTTTAACATTGATTTATTTTTCCCGTAACAGATTTTTTATGTTTATTTTATATAACAAAAGGGACAAGTCTTGAAAGGGACTCTTTTATATACACAGGACTCAACACCAAGGCAAGGCGTTTTTTTACTGGTTCAATCTGGTTCAGATTTTATTTGCCCTGGCAAAATTTTTACCGGCCTTGCCACAAAAACAAACAAAAATAGTATTTTTTAAAAAAATAAAAATTGTTAATTAAAGACATGTAAACAGTCAGTAAAACAATAAGAACAAATTAACATATTACTAGCAATAGTACAAATAACTAGGCCTACGATAGAACAAAGATACAAATAAATCAGGTATGAAATACTATGATGTATAGATTAGCTAATCTTTATTAAGGCTGAAGACATTAAGTTAACAGCATATTTGAGCAGAGTGATTTTTTTAATTATTATTTATTTATTTATTTGTTCTTTAATTAACATTAATGACACAAGACAACATTAAGACACTTTAAGACCTAAATGCATGGATCTGACACCACTAATGTTTGTCTCAAAACTGGCTCTGCACCCCTTTACCTAAATTCATTACTTCAGACTTATGTGCCCTCTAGAAGCTTGCACTCTGCAAGTGAACGTCGCTTTATTGTGCCATCTCAAAGAGGCATAAAATCACTTTCACAGACTTGTTTCACAGAAATGTTCCCTCCTGGTGGAATGACCTGCCCAACTCAATCCGAGTCCTTAGCCATCTTCAAGAATCGGCAAAAAAAATCTCTTCCATCTTTATTTGACCCTCTAACTCTAGCACTCTCTATTCTAATTCTATTCTTGGAAAAAAAAAAAACTAACACTAGCTTTTCTAATTTTTTTGTGTTCTATGTATTTGTTTTCTTTTTATTTATTATACAATTAACAAAAGCAAAAAAGGCCTCTAACACTAGCTTGCTCTATTCTTTTTCTATTCGATCTGTTTTCTTTTTATTTATTATATACTAAAAAAAAAAAAACTTGCTACGTGTACTGCATTAAAGGCACAATATGTATGATTTTTTTTATTAAAATATCCAAAAACCACTAGAACAGTGTTATAAATTTTGCTGACTTGTGTACTTACATTATCCCAAATGTTTTGAAGAATGTTTAAATCCAGAGAAATAAGCAATTTTAACTAGTGACACGGACCGTGTCCATAGTGTCATTGTGTTGCCTGTCAATGACGTCATAACCCCTCGATTTCCGGTTTTGTTTTGTAGAAAATATTTTGTAGAAAATATGGAAACACCAAAGATGCTTTAATATGTTGTGCATTTTAATAGACCAGTGATGACTGCACAGAGTAGCATTATAACAGAACTTTCAAACGTATATAGTATAATAAAACAGCGCTGCTTTTTTTCCCACATACGCATGACTGGAAGGAGCAGAAGCGGTCGACTGTGGCATAATAAAAGCTCCGCTGCTTTCGTGCTCATTCAGCGGCCTCGTTTCGCTTCGACGGCTTTCAGCCTCACCCTGCTTCATTCTACTACGTTAATAAATCATTAGCTCATCCATGAACATGATTTCTGCCCGAGTCCCGTTGGATTGCATCGGCTGTGGGGACGAAGACCACAACTCCCATGATTCCAAACTCAGTCACGGAGTCATCAAACTACGCCTTTGTTTCTTTGTTTTGAATACGTGCCCTCTAAGCGGCGAAAAATTACATATTGTGCCTTTAAGCTAACTGAGACTTGTTATAGCACTTGCATATAATTGCTCTTTTGTTGATTTTGATTGCTTCCATTGTCCTCATTTGTAAGTCGCTTTGGATAAAAGCATCTGCTAAATTACTAAATGTAAGTGTTTGCATTCATTAAGATTTTTTTAATTAATTTTTTTAACTCTCCTGTTTAAGACTGTGTTTATGAGGATACTCACCACAGTGGGCATTTTTACTTAATTTTGTGTGTAAGCTAGGGATGTCCCGATCAGGTTTTTTGTGCCCTCGATCCCATTTGAGACATTCAATATTGACTATCTGCCGATACCAAGTCCCGATCCGATACTTGTATTTTCCTATTGCTTGGTGCACAATTCAAGTGCATTCAAGTTATTAAAATCAATCCAGTGTGTACAGAGATGTGCAGAGACTTTCTCAGGTGCAGGGGCTCAAATGTAAAAAAGGGGGCATCTGTCATCACTAATATCCAATGTAATACTACATACTACTATATACTACATATATCTACCAATAATAAGATACACACTATCTCTCTCTATGCACACACTGTATAATACGGTGGCTGAGAGAGCTCAACGCGCTGCAACTTCAGAAAACACATGCAAATAGAAAAAGCACCAGCAAATCAAGAAAACTTCTTCATCGGTTTGACAGCAGGTGCTGCAAATGCTCACAACGCGAACAAATAAAGAAACGTGCTGCAAATGCTCACACGTTTCTTTGGTTGTGTTGTGAGTATTTGCAGTGCGTTTCTTTATTTGGTTGTGTTGTGAGCATTTGCTCACAAATTGATGAAGTTGTTTTCTTAATTTGCAGGTGGTTTTTTTCTATTTGCAGCGCGTTGAGCTCTCTCGGCCACCGTAGTATAAAGACATTGGCAGATGTAAACATCACAATAATAGACATTATAAACAGACTGTGTGGTCACAATTATTAATATGGGACTACTGATACAAACTTCTTGTATTGTATATGTACAATAAGCAGATTAATTGCAACATAAAGGGAAAAAAAAAGTTGAGATAAGGTTAGAAAGCATGAAGTTTGCGAATGCCAGTCTATCAGTAAAGTCCAAAGCAAGACGCAACCCATAGCAATGCGTTATGACAACGATGTCTCAGATAGTCTTACAGCAGTTAAAGTAGTAAAATATATTACTGTAGAGCGATTCCTTACACAAAGTGCACATCAGATACGTTAAACACGGAATCTTAAACACATGTGACACGCTAGAACAGACCTCATTGTTCTCACGCGTCACACACTCACATTTGAGCATCTTCTTTTTCTTTTAATGACGGTGGACTGTTGAAAGTCCATACGCCACCTATTGCATGACACCGGCATGACAGCTAAAGAATCACCAGTGGATCGGGCTAAGGAGAGCCGATACGGATCAGTTAAAAAAATGCTTAATCGTTCCCAATCCCGATCCTTGAGATCGACTCGGGACATCCTAGTTTAAGCATGATAAGACATAAAAAAGAACTCGGTTCGGTAATGGCAAGCTGTCTCAGATGCTGCTTTCTGTGCACACAGACAACAGTGCATGGGTAAAGAATTCAGTTCTCTTCTCATTTAAAATTGCTCGAATGCTTAAAATGGCAAGACTTAAATGGTTTCTAGTTTATAACAAGCAGATTTTTGATACCAAGTAGCTAAAAAGCATGATCTCCCTCAAAATCTAGAGCTGAATTGAACGTTGCAAAAATGTTACAATTGGTTATTTGGCATGGGGCCAGGGTGGGCCAAGCTCCTGATTGGGTGGGCATGGCTCCCCTGTGAAGCCCAGCCTGGGTCACACTAGGGCTGGGCGGTATATCGAGTTTGTACGATATATCGATATTTTCTTCATAAGCGATTCGATATGAGGCAATAACGTTTATATCGATATACAGTAGTTTGATACGAGCGCATCTGAAAATATAGCGGAGGATACTGAGCTGCTGCGGAGATAGTGCATAATCCAGTTTGTTCTAAACATGTGACAAGCTTCATATCAAGGCCTTTAAAAACTGGTAAGACATAGTTTATTTTGTTTCGCAGTAGTTTAAGCGGCTCCACCCGTTATATGCTCTGACAGAAAGGCTGCGTGTGCCGCTGACAGAGACACTAGGCTACTCGCGCTGTTTAATATGTTTGAGATGTGCTATCTTCCTGAATGCATAACTTACATTTCACAAGTATATTCTCCATCTGTAAATGTTAGAAAGCCATGGAAATATTTCCAATTTTCTGTCAGAAGTGCATGAGCCTTCTGCTTTGGGATTCTCCGCAAGACTTCAGTGAACCAGCGCGCCAAACAGACAGAGCTCAATTAAATAGCAGCGCAATAATTCTGACTAAAATATAAATTTCGCTGAAATATTTGTTGTTGGACAATAAATGTGACATGTAGAATTTTAAAGCTACAAGTAAGTCTATTTTTATGATAGCACTGACTGTAAAGTGACTGTAATGGGGTAATCAAAATAGCCTAACACAACTCTGTGCTTTTGTTCTCATTTATTTTCATTTTTAGTTTAGTGAATTTAACTTCTGCTTTAAAAGCCTTTTTTTTTGTTTTTAGATTGCAATGTTACAATGTTAGAATGAAATGTGTTTTTAATCCTTTTCTGCACATAGTATAAAGGCTTACATGGTTACATTCACTTTATTTGTTTTCATAGCCTTTAATAGCCTATGTAGGCCTATTGTTTTGTTTGACAACATTGGGCAGTAAGTGATATATATTAAATACAGATTTTTAAAATACAAAAATGAAAATACAGAGATATATACCGTATATCGCAAATTGGCCAAAAAATACAGAGATATGAATTTTTGCCCATATCGCCCAGCCATCTTTGCGAATGAGCTGTATGGGTGGGCGATAGCACTTTCATCTTATTTTCTGATACTTTCAAGGCCAGTATTGCCGATATCAATTACAATAGCGATACACTAAACTGAATTGATCATTTAGAATAAAATGGGTAATTATACCCACTTAGCATTATATTTGAAAGGCATGTGTTTTTTGTAAAAATTCAATAGGCCATAACTGTGAATTATTAGATTGACTTTGTTTACACTGTGAGAAATAAAATGTACAAAAATTGTACTTTGAGCTCCTCACTAGGACAGTAACCTGAAATGGGCACCTTATCTGCCCCTAAAAGGGTGCATTAGTACCATAAGATAGTATGCACCCTTTAAGGGTAGATAAAATACAAAGATGTAACTTCGAGGATACCTTATGAAAAATAACCATAGTGTTACATAGTCGACATATAGTTGTAATTTATTCCTGATGCAATGCTGAATTTTCAGCATCATTACGCCTACATTACTTGATCCTTCAGAAATCATTCTCGTATGCTGATTTGCTGCTCAAGAAATAAATGGTTGAATAAGTTAAAAATGGTTGTGCTGCTGCTGCTTCATATTTTTATGAAAACCCTGTTATCAATAATCAATAATATCAATAATTATACGATAAATGTCAAATCATTATTTCTTTCAACTTTAAAGCCAGATTTTTGCTCCAAAGTTAAAGTTGTAGAAACCAGAGCATTAATATTCCTTAACAAAATAAATAATAATAAAATAAATATTTCTTTGTTTATGCATGTTCTAATGAGTGATATTGTTTCAAATCAAGAAACAGGTTTGTGTTGCCTGAAAATAGTAATACTATAGTAATATAAATTTTTTGTCTCTTAAAAATGCATTGTTCATTGTCAAAATCAGTAACATCTGTAAAAATTGTAGCAACCTCATTTTTAAATGGTGAAATTTAATTATTCTGACTGTTTGAGTGTTTTTTTTTTTTTTATAATTAACCAATGGTCTTCCATAGTAACATACATTTAGATCATGATAACCACGGTTTAAACCAAATGTATAGCACCTCAATGCCATGGTAAAAAAAAAATAAGCTGTAAGGTTTTTAGGTGTTTGTATGAAGAACAGTAGTCTAAATAAATGTAGTATAAATGCACAAACGCTATAGCTTAATCACAAAAAATACTGCAATTATGTTCTGTTACTTTTTTACTACATTTAATACGTCTACATTAATAATATACTACAATTCGATACAGATACCCACATTTCTGACACAATACCACGGTTCAGAAAATGTTAAGAGCGATGAAAAGATGAATAGGTGCCCTTTTTCAACTTTGTAAGATCAGTAACATGCTCACCCACAGATTCAGACACTGCTATTTTATTTACGCAACGCATTTCCCATTATGGGTTATGATTTGTGATGGTAGAAATGAAGCTTTTTGAAACTTTGAATCAATTGTTTCGGACAATGATTCACATTATATGCTGGTGACATTCGCTGGTCAAAACTTTAGATTCAACAAAATCTCAGGTCAAACATGCAAATAATAGCACCTTTTACAAACCTATTGCAAGTGTTTTATTAGAAGAATAATCTGTTAAATGCTGTTTATAAATCATTAAATACCATATGCCTAAATGAACTGAACAATGGGAGAAAACTGCTGTGGGGATACTGCTACCTGATTGGACTCCATGTCTAAAGCCCACCTCCACACCTAATCAAAATCTCACCCCTCATAGGGAGAAGTAGGCGAGACATAAGAAGTCTAGTTTTGATAGTCTACTACACTTGTAAATGAATGCAAACTGGACATATTTAAATGTACTATTTTTTTAGACCGTGAAATATGTCTGAAACATGTAGACAGTGCTTAGGTGTTGTGTAATTTAGTCCTACTATCACAGATTTAATTAAATGTTAATTTGTTCTCTTCCAGGTGTGTCTGGTGTTGGTGAAGATAAAGAGTTGGTGTTTGTGATGGAGGGAGATTCAGTCACTCTACACACTAATATTGAAGCAAATCAACAAGAAAAGATGAGATGGTATTTTAAGGACTTTCAAATCGCTGCAATCATTGGAGAAAAGAGAGAAATCTGTACTGATGATGAGTGTAAAGAGATTTTCAGAGACAGACATGAAACTAGATCATCAGACTGGATCTCTGACCATCACAAACATCACAACCACAGACACTGGAGATTATAAACGAAAGGTCATCAACAGTGGCAGCTTCAGTGACAAGATCTTCAATGTTTCAGTACATGGTGAGTCATTTCATGAATATTTAGAAACAAATTATATATGTTTATTATAACAGTGGTATTCCAAGCTCCTCTTTTCCTGTATCATTAAACAGAACATCATTATTTCCATTTCTAATCTCTGAAATCATCTCTGGTCACATTTTCTTATCTAATTTTTTTTCATTATTGTGTTTTAGCTGTCCGGGATGTATGTTCAACGTAAGCACAAAATATAGAGAAATTTAGCATTTTAGTCAAAGTCTAGAAAGAGTATGTGAAGTACTTGTTTTACTAGTTTTCTTATATTATGATTAATCAGTTATCTTGTTGAGGTTTTTTCCTCCAAAAAGATCCTACATCATCTGTTGGTTTGTGTTTCAGGTGTTTCTGCTGCTGAATGGGATGAAATGAAGGGAAAGTCAGTGAAGGAGGGAGAATCTGTTACTTTAGATCCTGGTGTAGTAAAAAACCTGAATAGTGTGATGTGGTGTTTTAGTGACATTCACATAGCTGAAATCACTGGAGATCAGAGTAAGACCTGTACAGATGATCAGTGTAGAGAGAGATTCAGTGACATACTGAAGCTGGATCATCAGACTGGATCTCTGACCATCACAAAAACTAGAACCACAGACTCTGGACTCTATAAACTACAGATCAACAGCAGTAGCTTCAGTATTAGCAGAATATCAACTGTTTTAACTGTCATTGGTGAGTATAAATTAGTTATTCAATGCCTTTGCCCTCTAACTTTAGAATATAGTCCAAAATTATTGTCAAGTTAATGTTATTTTTAATTATGTAATACATAATTTAGTTAATATAAATGTATTTAATATTATCGTGGCCTGTTTGAAAGTGATCTATTGTATATTGTCTGTATCATCCTCACATGAATCTGAAAGTGACAGTTTTCAAGTTGTTAGCCAGAGACATACTGCAACATACTGCTGTTTCTAGTTGAGCTCACAGTGCTGTGATGCTGCTTTAGTTGCTGTTCCTAAAAAACACCAGAAGGTGCCATTTATCAGTTAAATCAATATCATACAACTGATGAACAAAGTAGAAAGCTGTAAATATAAGTTAAAGATATTGGTAAATAGTGGATGGATAATCAGTCACTCTCTAGTAATAATGACTGTCTGTCTTTATCTGTTCCAGATTCAAGTCTTTCTCCAGGTGCTATAGCAGGGGTTGTTGTTGTTGCTGTTGTTCTGTTGCTCATTGCTGCTGTGTTCCTCTATCGCAAAGCAAAAAGGAAAAGTGAGTATTACATACAGCATGGGATGTATTATGTGGAAATATTATTTAAAAGATGTGAAAATATATATTTTGTATTGTAATTAACCAAAGTAATGTGTTTAATTGTTTATTTTCCAAACAGACACACGGAACAATCGTGATCAGGTGAGATACTATGAGGACTGAACCTGTCTGCTTAAATAAATAAATAAATAACCACAGATTCAGATCTGTGAGAAATTTATAAATCAGTACACAGAAACACCAACAATAATTGACTCTTTAAGATACTGCTGCTTTTGTACTGTTTTACTCCGAATGAAGAACAGTGAAGAACAGTATTTCTTTTTTTAAATATTGTTATTATATAATTGTTTTTTGTGAATTATTTATTTAACGTGTTCTGACTTCACTTTAGAGTCTGGGTGTAACAAATGTTCACTGTGAATCTGTTTCTTCTCCTTTATTTATTTTTTTTCATACCAAGGCACAACTTCACCAGTGAGGCCATTTATAAACAAGCAAAAAAAAAACATTCAGATACCTCCCAAATAAACCAAATAACAGTAATATAAAACCACTAAGTACAACTTTATTCTGAGAACAAGACTGTCTTAATACTCACCAACATAAGATGTATTTTAATCACAATAGCTCACACCCTATGGCATGCAAACATTTTGTATTACTGCAGTACAAAAGATAACAGTGTGGTGGAGACTGAAGATTCATTAAGAGAAACATTTAAGAAGTGTTAAATATTTAGGAAAAGGAAACTACCATGCATTCTGCAAACATCAGGAAAAAAAACAATACTGTTTGAGTATTTTTGTGTAAATGAATCATTAGTCCTGTCTATTTCTTTGACTTTCTGTGAAGGTGTGTTTTCTTACAGGGGAATAATTTGCCAGTCTCGTCTCCTGATCAGAGCACGTCTCCATTTATACCTCCTAAGGTCAATGCTTCTAATGGGAATGCTAATGGAAATCATGTGCAGCATTAAAGGTAAATATTCAGTCTTTCACATCATCTGTCCATTACAGGTGTTTTCTCCTTTCGGTCTCTCTTAGTTTTGTTCATTAAGAATGTTCAGCTGAGATGCATTTGTCCAATGTGATTTGATTTCATGTAATAATTGTGTTCTTTATGTGTTTGTAGAATATTGTCACTGCCAGCGAGCAAGTGAGTGCGAATCCATTGGATACTACACTTTTGCACGTGTAAACTAGCGCTTGTAAACATCTTGTGCACATAATTTGTGAATATACATCTGCCTTTAGCTAGTCAGCTTGTTGTTTTTAAACAATACTTTTGTTCCTTTATGCCGGGTATACACTACACAATTTTATGCCCAATTTTCACTCACATCAGTGAAGTTTTGTGGAGATCGCTGACAAAACTTGAAATCTGCGGCAAATAGGTGCTAGTTTACATGAGTGAAGTTAGGGCTGAACGATTAATTGCATTTGCGATAATATCGCAATATGAAATAACGCGATTTTTCAATCGCAGAGGCTGCGATTACACGGTCACGTGACATGCGAGAGTAAAGAGGTGTGTTCGACTTGAAGATCAGATCGGTGTATGACATCAAAGTAAGGCGAGAGAAAGCATAAGGAGAGTCTGCGCTCTTATAGCTCTCGCAGTGCTTTGATGACACACCGATCGGTCTAAGCAGCGCTGCTTCAAGTCGATCTTGCTCTCGGCTTCACTCACTGCGTCTATACCAGATGCCGTGCCGCAACAGCTCTACACTGGACGTGACAATGCGACCGTTGCAAATCATTTTAACTTTGTGTCAGTATGTCATAAATAGAACAAGGCATCAGTTTAATGTCGCGTTGCATCCAGTGTACACAGCATCACTGATTATAATGGGTTCTACTGTATTTTGCCGCTCGCGTCCGGTGAGCGTCACTGATTATAATGGTTTCTACTGTATTTTGCCACTCGCTTCCGGTGTAGACACGGTGTTTAATGTCGTTGGTGAGGTGGAAAGCCTGTGTGTGTCCTATGCCTTAGCGGACAGCATGAAACCCACAAAAAAATAATAAATAACAGCGAGAGAATAATAATAATAAGTTATTCTCTCTATGCAATTTTTCAGTGTTTCAAGTGATGCAGGTGTTTTTTTCCTGTAGGTTTTTTAAATTAAGAAAGTATACATTTTTCATAATGTTTAGTGAAATTATTTGGTAGTCTGAGGTGGAATGGGGATTCGGGAAAGGGGGGCATTCATATCAATTCATGCATCACCTAATTTCATCGTAACATATAGGCCTGGCCTACAGAAAAGAACATTTATGTTTAATCTATCTAATATTGTGTTGGTCATACTATACAATGATTTATAGCTTGTCTTTGTTGAATAATACAGAACATAGCTTGTCTTTGTTGAATAATACAGAACATAAAGAGCTTTAAAAAAATAATTGCATATTAAAGCGCAATACTGGTCAAAAAAATCGCAATTAGATTATTTTCCAAAATCGGTCAGCCCTAAGTGAAGTTCACATGGTCTGAAATATCAAAGATGTGATTTAAGAGAACCATTGATGTGTCGCAGATGCTCAACAAATATTTAGCAGCCTATAGCAGGATAAAAATCTGGACTTGTCTGCGATTCAGTGTCTAGCAGTGCGAAATGTGTTTTAACTTGAAATTACATCGGCGGTGACTTATAGCCAATGAGAGAGCATGATACAGGGGAAGGGAGAGTTCCAGTCTCACACAAGAGTTCGGCTCACGTGTGATCTTACATTATTGTCATTTCACTTCTCACTCATGCCTTTTGTGCATGAGATGAGGATTTGTCGAGGATTCTTCCTAGTGAAATATTGTGCAATGTGTTACACCCAGTCACCAACACGTCATGTAGTGTAAACCACAATAACTTTAAGATACCCCAAAACAGTTGTGTAGTGTAAAAGGGACAGTGATCTGACAACTTAAATTGTGTAGTGTATGGGTGGCATTATTCCCTTTTTCTACTTTAAAAAAAAAAAAAAGTGGACATGCAACCCTCGATGGACGCCTTGACAATATAATCGCCATTGGCTAGTAATTATTTTTTTTTCATTTACTCGCCAGAAT